AGGACCCGGGCCAGCTTCACCCGGGCTGGCTATAGCCACAGGGGATCATGGGTGGGCAGCTTGCGTAGGCTGCAGCTGCAGGCACTGGCACCTGGGACCATGGGGCAGGCGGCTTGTCCTTCTCCCGGGCCACATCCACAGGTGCTGGCACCAGGACCTTAAGGACTGCGGGACAGGCAGATTGTCCCTCTCCCGGCCGCAGGCGCAGATGCTGGCGCCCAGGACTGCGGGGCAGGTGGTTTGTCCCTCTCCCAGGCCTGGCTGGTCTCCATAGTTACAACAAACAGGATTTAAACAAAGTGGGGTTTTTTTTGCCATCTTAGAAGATAAAGATTTCCTCTCAATTCACATGAATTTAAGAGATTTTTACAGTGGACAAAAGGAAGCTTATGGGAAAAGTAAAAAGTTATAATTTCCACTACTAGTATAACTTGTGTAACTCATCTGAACTATTCATCACAGATAGTGACTGGCACTTAAATGGTCATCTGTAAATGTCCAAATTACATTTTAGACAAAATATGGACTATGCCAGCACTTACAGTATTTTATGCAGTGATGCATTTATATAGTTAACAATGTGCATTATATCTCTTCTGCACAACAGAACCTTCATAGAATTGTTTTATACTAATGAATACTAAAACAAGATATTCTGAAATATAAGGAATGTTCAAATAGTGGCTTTGTGATTTTTTTTCCCCCATGTTTTAAGCACCCATGGTAATTTTGTATTACTGGGATTTTTATAATTTCTAAACTTTATTATATATACATATTAATTTAAATCATGTATTTAAAAATAAATACTAAATAAAATGTATGTATACACTCATTTGTTTTACAAAGAAAAATAGCCACAAAAATTTTTCCTTTTGTTCTTGGCAAAAAATACCTATTTTGGAGAATACTGTACAATAATATTTAATTTTAAAAATGTAAATAATTACATTAGCATTTCTCACCAACAACTTTATTTATGAAGACTTTTGAAAACTTATACACACCTTAACTATCTTGGGATTTTATTTCCCTTAGGCCCAGTGAAATAATGTCTGGCCTTAAAATTACAGTGACTTGATCTTAAACAATATACTAAAATAATGAGATTATTGTATAATGTAAAAATATTTTTTTAAATAAAGCCTAAATAGCAAATTAAATGTAGGTTGTGGTTTTAAAATAGCAACAACATAGTTTACAGTAATATATGTTCAGCACCAGAGGGGGGGACTGCAGTAGGTGCTTCATTACAACTCTTGCTCAGACACTCACTGAAGCTATGATTTTAACGGTGTGGCTCCTTCAAAGGTCAGACAGGAAGCATCAGTCCTAGGCCCACACAAATGGATAAAGCTTCTCGTATACATCTAGTCCAGTGGTTCTCAACCTTCCTAATGCCGCGACCCTTTAATACAGTTCCTCATGTTGTGGTGACTCCCAACCATAAAATTATTTTCGTTGCTACTTCATAACTGTAATTTTGCTACTGTTATGAATCATAATGTAAATATCTGATATGCAGGATGTATTTTCATTGTTACAAATTGAACATGATCAAAGCATAGTGATTAATCACAAAAACAATATGTAATTATATATGTGTTTTCCGATGGTCTTAGGCGACCCCTGTGAAAGGGTCGTTCGACCCCCAAAGGAGTCGCGACCCACAGGTTGAGAACCACTGATCTAGTCAGTACTTCAGCCAGAAAAGCAAATAAATGTGCTACTCTAGTTATGTAATTCTGCACTGGGGGAAGGGGGGAGTATTAAGGTCACAATTTAAATCATATTTATATATAAATATAAATATATATATACATAGATACATATATATAAATTATAAATATATATGTAAAATTTCCCCACTATCTTGGTTTCAGAGTATGTTCATAGTTTCCACAAGTAGCAAATTTGGATTTCCTTTTGCTTTACCCTAGGGCAGTGATGGCGAACCTTTTGAGCTCAGCGTGTCAGCATTTTGAAAAACCCTAACTTAACTCTGGTGCCGTGTCACATATAGAAATTTTTTGATCTTTGCAACCATAGTAAAACAAAGACATATTTTTGATATTTATTTTATATATTTAAATGCCATTTAACAAAGAAAAATCAACCAAAAAAATGAGTTCGCATGTCACCTCTGACACGCGTGTCATAGGTTCGCCATCACTGCCCTAGGGCCTAGGCAAACTGGAATTTACCGATATTTTATTATTGGGTACAAAGAACCATTTCAAAGACATACAAAGTTTCTGTACATTTAAAAAAGAGAGTCTTCTTTTGGTACCCAACTCAAAACAAGAAAATAGTTCATGCAAAAATGAGTTACCAGTAGAACCTTATATAACCATATACAGATTAAGAATTTTAAGAACAATATTCCCTCTTATCCAGTTTCATTTGCCCACAGTCAATCACAGTCCAAAAATATTAAATGGAAAATTCCAGAAATAAACAATTCACAAGTTATAAATCGTGCTCCATTCTAAGTAGTGTGATGAAATCTCACGTCATCCAGCTCCATCCTGCCTGGGATGGGAATCACCCCTCTGTTTAGCATATTCACGTTGTTATTCTACCTACCTATTAGTCACTCAGTAGTCTTCTAGGTTATCAGATCGACTGTTGGTATCCCAGTGCTTACAGTAGCCTAATGCTACATCACAATACCTATAATGTCACCCATTCGCCTCACTTCATCTCATCATTGTATAATCTTACATTGCATAATCTTACATCAATAGAAGGGTGAATACAGTAGAATAAGATATTTTGAAAGCGAGACTACATTCACATAACTTATTACAGTATCGTGTTATAATTGTTCTATTTTATTATTGGTTATTGTTTTAATCTCTTACTGTGACTAATTTATAAAGCAAATTTGATTGTATGTATGTATGTATGTATAGGAGAAAACAGTATATATAGGGCAGGTGTGGGGAATGTTTGTCCTCCAGGACCCATAAGGCCCACGAAATCATTTGGTCTGTCCCTGCCCCGAAGCATAAGGGGTGAGTTAATTAAAATGTTTAAGCAAATATAGCAAGCTAATTTTTAAGTTGATAATTTTGTATGACCTATGAATGATGTTATAAATATCCAAATGGTGCCTGGCAGAAAAAAGGTTCCCCACCCCTGATATAGGGTTTCATACTATCTGAGGTCTCAGGCATCCACTGGGGTCTTATAAGATACTAGAGGCCGGTGCACAAAAATTCATGTACTGGGAGGTGATCTCTCAGCCTGGCCTGCCCCTCTCATAGTCCAGGAGCCCTCAGGGGATGGCCTCCCTCTGGGGGAGGTGACCAGGTTGATCAGGGGAAGGCACCGCCCCTATCACCCTGCTGCTGCTGCTGCCACTGCTGGCCACAGCGGCTGCAAGGCCTGAGCCCTGGGCCTCACAGCTGCCTGAGCCCATGGCTGCCTGAGCCCACGGCTGCCGTGAGCCCCAGGCCTCGCAGCTGCTGTGGCTTTGTCCAGATGGACATCTGGATGGACGTCCGGAAGACGTCTGTCCTAATTAGCATGTTACCCTTTTATTAGTATAGATTCCATGTGGATAATAAGGGGCTACTTTTACATACAATGTGAAAATTTCTGTCATGTAAATGTCTTAATATCTGTAGATGTACATATATGTACATATATGTAAGTAAAAGTCAGCAACCCTTTGAAAAGCAGCACTTTCATTTTGTTATTTGTATTCCTCAGGAGTAGACATAACTGTACATTTTACAGATCAAATCTTTGAAAGTAATTTTAATCTTAAAGTTTGATGTCATATTAGCACATTTTATGTGGACAATGAAAGTCCACCTTATTTTGGTTCTTAAAGGAAACCACTAAGTCAAATTTAATTAAATGTTTTTTTCTGTTCCATAGAAGCATCTTTAGTTCAACAAAATATCTTGACAAACTATGCCTGAGATCTTAGGGGACTGTCCTGAGCTAATCCTAAATTAAAGTTCAGTGTTCTAGGACATTGTGTTACAGCAGACATTAACCTCAGTGCCTGCCTTGTCTAAGTACAAATCGGCAACCAAAACTATTTGCATCTTGGCTCAGAACATGGAACACACATTCCCCATTCATCATCCAAATAACTGAGTGATCCAAAAATATTTTCTCATTAAAATATCATTAGCAATCATGTAGGGAAGCTTTTAAACAATTGTTCTTTCAAAAATGTTTAAGCAAAACAGTAAAAATAAATTACCTAGATATGTCATTTTCTCTAGGCTAGAATCATGGAAGTTCTTGTAGCCCTTGATTTTGAAAATCTCCTCAATACTTAAATACGGACCTGAGAGGAAAATGGGCCTCATCAATGCCCATTATTTGCATCACTGAGTGTTTTGTGATAGCAAATGTCTACACTCCTAGAGGGTTAGGATAGTGTAGTGCAGTGTGAACCCCAGAACCAGACCTAGGTTTGAGGCCCCACCCTACCACGTACTAGCAATGTGAATTGGGCTAAAGTCACCTCTTTGGGCCACAGTGTCCTCACAATGTTATATCAAATAGGTTACCACATATAAAGCATATAGGACAATGTCTGGCATTTGGTATTCATTTAGTAAATATTAACATGTTATGTTATTCAATTTTTTTTCATTCAAAACTTAGAGGCCCCACATCAGACTTTTAGTTGCTGTTAATTATCAATTCCTATTTTTATGTATTTAGTACACTCCCTGGTTGATGTATATATGTGTATAATCTATACCATGTAGTACATATATGTATATGTAAACCATATAATGAATATGGTATATTAGAGGCTCAGGACATGGAATTCATGCATGGGTAGGGTCCCTAGCGGCTGCCGGCTGCTGGCCGAGGCCTCCCTTCCCCTGGCTGCTTGCCTGCCGCCGCTGGCCGGGGTCTCCCTTCCTGCAGTTGGCTAGCCGGCCCCGCCCCCTGGTCGAACTCCCATTTGAACTCCTGGTTGAATTCCCAGTTGAGGTGACAATTTGCATATTAGGCTTTTATTATATAGGATATGTGTGTGTAAGGATGTGCAACAAAGAGACGCGAAAAACAACATTTTTATGGTGAAATACATAATACAGAAAAATAAAATACAGTAAGTTGAAAAAAACCTTGTCCTTAGAGTCAACCTTTCATGATGGTAAAGAACACATTCAGAATATCTTCACTTTAAGTAAGCCAGAAGTCTGATTTTCTTAAGCGTAAGTCATCTTTCCAAGGTAGTTAGCTGGCACATATCCTTTCTGCCCTCGAGCTTCAGCTAACCACCACTCTTTATTGCCACTCAGATCACAAAATCTAAGTATATGAACTCTTTGGTATTCCTGAAGGCTGAGTTCACAGTTACTCCGTGCTTCAAAGGCATGAACTGCATAGAAAATCTAGACAAAGAAGCAAATGACATTAATTAGAAACAGAGCCTAAAAGTGTTGATAAATGTTAATAAAGATTGCCAACCTCTTAGAAGGAATGCTAGTTTTCTTATTTTCCCAAAATGATATTTCCTCAATTCCCGCCGGGTGTATTTTGCTAAAGTGTAGTGCAGATATGAATATAGCGAAATCGGCATTCTTATTGTTCTGTTGGGAGGAGTCTGAACTATACTTGAAGGCAATTTGGCAGTTTCTGTTTAAAATTTTTTTAAATATTTGTTTTAAAAAATAATAGCTCTAAGAACCTCTGCTACAGAATAGAAACATAGACAGATTTTTACATAATAATGTTACTGCAATACCCATTTATAAGGTGAAAAGTGGGAGAAGAGTGAAAATAACACTGAAGATTCAGCAAGAGAATAAATTCTAGACCATACACTAAAGAAGTCAGTAGTCATTACAAGTGACTAATAATATAGAAAAATTTATGATAAAATAGTAAGCAAAAAGGACATAAGATCAGATGTACAATATAAGCCTAATATTGTTAGATTCTTTGGTAGAGTTAGAGGTGATTTTCACTTCCCCTTATTTGTTTCCTTATTTTCTAAACCTATATAATGACAATGTAATAAAATTATAATATTTAAAATATTTAAATGACCTAGAAGAAACTAGTAAAACACATTTCCATCAAAAGAAATTTTCTCCAGCCTCAAAAGAATACTTCGCAATTAGTAGCTGCATAAGAAGCCACTAAGTAAATGTTAAGTCCCACTTCCACTAAAATCATAAAACTGTTAATAAAAATGTTTTTTGTTTTAGCATAAAATTAAACAATCAACTAATAACATGTATTCATTCATTTCATCAGAATTTATTAAGTACCTATTAAGCACCAGATATTATATTATCATAGAACTTGTAACACAGCTAGGCGGGAAAATTAAAAAAAAAAAAAGAAAGGCACGCGGGGGCGGGGGGTGGGGGAAT